ATACCAGACTACCCCCAATCTAGTAATCTCCCGATAATTTACGAAGGTTCGAGAGAAGGAGTGGCGTGATACTAGTCACGTGACCTCGCTGACGCAACAATATACTAGTAAATCAATTTTAAGTTGTTCAAAAAATACTATTTACATTTTAAAAGGTTTTAGCCCTACATTAGCCTCCTATAAACATTTTCCCCAGTCACTCTTCAGGGGTAAAAAAAAAATCCATTTAAGAATACTTACATAATGATAATAAACTATTATTTTGGAAAAAAAAAAATACTAAAAATCTTTTCCTTTATTAATCAATAAATGAACCTTGAATATTACAACTTGTTTTTTTTACCAGCTAAACTAAGTGAAAACATTTAACACAAACTAGCCGAATACTGAAGCTACTGAGAACAGCACTCTCGGTGGCACAACAATATGTCTGCAAATTTATGCTGCTAGAAACTGGGTTTCGATACCCACGGTGGGCAGACCACAGATAGCCCATTGTGTAGCTTTGTGCTTAATAACAAACAATTACTATTACAGAGAATAACAAACATGTATGTGCTGCCATCTCTTGGCGTCAATGTTTACAAAATATTTGGGGTCTATGAAGACCCCGGTAGACTAACGCAGGGTTAAGTGTTCATATTTTGGATATATGTTGATGCTTATGCCTTGAAAAGGAAAACAGAAAACACAGCATTAACACGTTCTTTCTTCTACAATGCTACTGAAAAATAAGATTAATACTCTCCTTCCCAATAAATACACCCATCCCAGATGTAGACAAACTATTAGTGGTAAAGCTGAAATAAAACTCTCTCTCTGAGAAATCAAAACAGAAAAAAACAAACCTATTACCACAATTTTATTTCATTTTTTAAAAATTAAATACTACTTATTATTTTTTAAACGTTTTCAGTGCTGACTGATGGATGGAAACCATTTTCAAGGAAGAGAAAACAACTTACAGTGTGATGTTCAAAGACTATTGAAAAAAGGCTTAAGATAAAAAACTGTACTGAATAAAAAAATCTTTGTCTGAAGTTGTTTGTCAACTTCCTTGTAAATATTACTTGACTATATTTTCCTTACCTTATGACTGATCTCAGTCAGAGCAACCTTTTTGCTGCGTGGGTAATTAACAAGATGAGTGTCATGAATGGACCCATAGCAACAAGGACAACACACAAAAGCAGCAAGTTTTTCCACACATTTCTTAATCACCAAGTCTGTTGCAACACCACATGCATGAAGACAAACACCAATGTCAAACTGACCATTGTAGTAACCTAAATTACACTGAAAATAAGAAGATTTTACGTAAACAAAAATTAGTGGGTACATCAGTAAAATTAAGAAGTTTGGACATTTTCAAAAGTTTTTCTACTTTCAAGATTTCCGTATTCTTATCCTTGAAACTCAGAAGAAGATAGCTCACCTGATAGAAAGTTACGTTTTGAATACCTAAGGTTTTCACACGAGCTCGAGCACGATCTAATGATGCTTCTTTATTTTCAATGAGAAGAACCTGATATTACAAAGGAAATAAACGAATCAACATTTACACTTGATAATTTGAACCAGTAACAACATAAGAAAACAGGCAATTACTGCAGTATTGTTACTGCAGTGTATAAATATATTCCAGCAAATAAAATGGTATAAGCAAAATAAGAACAAAAACAGAAACCAAGACAAAGGCTGATGGAAATCAATATGAAATATACAGGACTCTGCCAAACTCATTTCTAAAGTAAATTAGATGTTCTCAGATTTGGCAAGTATATTTGAATCGAAGTCGATTTGTTACGTTTTCATGAAGCAAAAACGATTATTAATCACTGACTTGTTCGTTGTCATCTCATGAAGACCTTTTGGTCGAAAATATGGAGGCAGCATGGCTTCAAGCTTTGGCTTAGAGTTTAAGACTAGCCTGTGGCCCACTGTTATGTCCTCGAGAAAAACACTTCACTCCACTTCTTCCAGCCTATCAAGCTGTTTAAGACTAGCCTGTGGCCCGCTGTTACGTCCTTGAGAAAAACACTTTACTCCACTTCTTCCAGCCTATCAAGCTGTTTAAGACTAGCCTGTGGCCCGCTGTTACGTCCTTGAGAAAAACACTTTACTCCACTTGTTCCAGCCTATCAAGCTGTATGATGGATAACAGCTGTTAACCTGTGATCAACTGGCACGCTGTCCCAGGGGAATGGGTTACCATTCCCATCATCCACTTGAAACCAGAGTTCTAAAGCCCTAAGTACATGGCAAAGATTTAATTCAAACGTTTAGCTAACAAGTAAATTTATTTTGGATGGTTATTTTCATTCTTTACTGTATTATTATATTTAAATTTGTACCTTTTTTAATACAGACTGGATGAGCACAGGAATTCTATCTACTGTTCAGTGTTTAATAAAAGTAAAATCTTAGAAGTTATATTCTATTTGTGTGTGTATTTTGTGGGATGATAAAGAGATAAACAGATTTCTAAGAAGGACTTTTCCTAGCATTTTGGAAGTTTTTTCACAAATTATACACCAATGACTTATCACCACTCTATACATAGGTTAGTAGAGGCAAAATAATTATATTACTTATTATTATTAATCATTTATAATTATTATTATTATTAATTTCTTGTACCAAGTACAAGAACAATAGATCAATCAATTATATAAAATAAATCTTTTCTGCTAGAATGAAGTAAGCAAATACAGAAATAAAAATAACCGTATGATAACAATGAAACATGCACTAATCATTAATTGTATTAACATTATATGTAACTCTGAAAATATAAATCACACTAATTTTAATACTGAAAACTAATGAAGACTAAGTCTTTTGTCAATGTTGACATACACAGTTATATTTAGATTAAAATGAACTTTTTAAACTAAATTGTTCAAATTAGATAATCTGTGTAAACTTAAGCATAAATGTAATTAATTAAGCTAAATGAAGATATTGAAAACCTATCTTCCAAAGTACTAATTTAATTAAAGTGTTTAAAACTTACAATCCAATATTTCACTAGATTTTTCAAACAGGAAAGTAAACACAACTAAACGATATTAACTTACTATACTAACCAATAAAAAACCCTATAACCCAAGTGCTCCTGAAGAAGAAAGGTCCACCTTTCAAAAGTGCTTGGATTATAGGTTTTTTTATTCATTTCTATCAAGACTTCTTGAACCTGCGTGTTTTTCTAACATCATGAACTTACTATACTAGATCACAAGTATGGAAATGAGATTTGAAGCAATTAAGTTGTGGTTGTTAAAGCACATCTTGAAGGTACATTGGACACGTAACACCTCAAATGAAGATATTTTGTCAAGAGTTGGTTGCAGGAGGAAGCTGATGACTAACATCAGAAAAAGACAATTCTTGGACACTTTACGTGGAAAGAAGAAATTGAAAGTCTGGTTGTAATTGGAAAGAATGAAGGAAGAAGAGACTGAAGATAGAGGTTGTCTTATGTCAAGAGTCTATCTAAATGGATGAATGTATCGACTTTGGAAATCCTTTGTGCCTCAAGAGGAAGAGGTCTCTGGAACACAGTGGTTACTCCTGTACATTTTTTTTGGATAGAGAAAGAGAGACAATTCTAGAACAACTAAAATAACATCAGCAAGAAAACTAATTTGTTCTAGCTGAGTTACATAGGTGCAGTGGCTATCCTCATAAAATAAGTTTCTTGACACTTGTTAGCCCTTTTTTTTTGGCACTAAGAACTTAAAACTCCAAAACTAAGAAGCCCAAACTACAAAATGATCTCAAATATTCATCAACAGTTCTAGATTTTATAATCTATAACATTTTAGCACAGTTACTAGTTCTCTACTTAACTCATAATTACACTGGTTGAAGGTTTACAATTCATTTTAGAAATTTCCACCTTTACTGATGTTGCTTTAGCAGTATATATACCCAAATGCTACTTTTCGTTGACTATTACTAACACTGTTTTTTTTTAATTTCGTGCAAAGCTACACGAGGGCTATCTGCACTAGCCGTTCCTAATTTAGCAGTGTAAGACTAGAGGGAAGGCAGCTAGTCATCACCACCCACCGCCAACTCTTGGGCTAGTCTTTTACCAATGAATAGTGGGATTGAC